GCTGGAGTGCTTGTTCACAAGCATGAATCGAAGTCTTTATATTTCAAAATTCTTCATGTCTTTGAAGTCTTTAAGTCTTATGATATTTGAAAGTTTTCGTATAGACTTGCGATCTTCAAAGAGTCTTCAATTGTTTGGGAGTTTCTTCACAATTCTCTAACTTTATAGAAATCATCATTTTTCACAAATAAAGGTTGACCCCTTTATTTTTAAAGTCTTCCATGAGCCTTAGCAAATTTGGACTCAGCGGTTAGACTTGTGCTAACTTGAGTCTTGCGCTAACGTTGATCCTTGCTAAACTTAAGTCTTTGCTAACATAAGTCTTGGACTAAATTCAACTTTGAGCTTAGTTTACCTTGGGATTTAGGCCATATTTTGGACTTTACTCGGGTTTGGCCCATCTTTATTTAGTAGACTTGGGTTGACATGAGCTCTGGACTAAATTGAGCTTTGGGCTTGGTTGACCTTCGGATTTAGGCCCAATTTTAGACTTTACTCAGGTTTGACCCAATCTGCAACATGGCTAATTTCATATTTATTCGGCCAATTTCACGTTTATTAATTTAATTTGGAGACACATGTTACTTTGTAGTTGGTCTAAAAAATAATGAGATGACAATATTTCATATTGAACAAATGTCCCCTTTTCGAGATATATTCACGAGTAGCCGTGAGTGAATCTCGAAAATATTTTGGTATCAAAACGTATGATATTAATGAATGGTTTTGATCCCCTTAATGTGTCAAATTAATGAAAACATGAATTTAGTTAAAACTTTTTAACATTTTTTTTCTTATTTGACACATTTGAATTCAAATAAAATTATTTTAGCTCTAGTAAAATTTGAATAAAATATAAATTATAATTTGTTTACTCAAAATTTGGTTTCGAAAGTTCCGAAATTGAAATTTAGAATTGTAATAAAAATTAATACAATTTAAAATATGTCAAAATTAAAATTCTATCGAGATTTTGAATTTAGATAGCAAGTTTTTTTAGTTCAACTTGAATTTTGACTTGAATTGAAATAAAATTTTAATTTTATTTATTGCAATTACAATTTGGAATATGCCAAAATGAAAATTTTGAATTCGAATAGAAATTTGGTAAAATTTGTAAGATTTTTAATATGTCTAAATTAAAATTCTACCGATTTTGAATTTGGATAGAATTTTTTTAGTTCTACCTTGAATTTTTCTTAATTGGAATAAAATTTGAATTTAAATTTTGTTTATTCCAAAAAATATGCCCAAGTTAAGATTTGATTTTGAATATAAATTTGGTAAAATTTTAAAATTTTGAATATGTCTAAGTTAAAAATCTACCGAGATTTTGAATAATGGTAGATTTTTTTTCATTTCTATTCGCATTATGACATGAATGGGAATAAAATTTGAATTATTATTTATTATTATTATTATTATTATTTACTCCAATTTGAGTTTGAGATATAACAAAATTAAAAATTCGAACTCGATTAGAAATTTGGTAAATTTTTGAATATGCCTAAATTAAAATTTTGAATTTGAATACAAATTTGTAAAAATTGAAATATGCCCAAATTAAAATTATACCAAGCTTTTGAATTTGAATAGATTTTTTTTTTAATTCTACTAAAATTTTGACTTGGATTTGAATAAAATTTGAATTTGAATTCTTTTACTCCAATTTCAATTTGAAATATACCCAAATTAAATTTTAAACTTGAAGGAAATTTTTAAAAATTTCGAATATGCCCAAATTAAAATTATCGAAAATCAAATTGAAATTCGAATTTCAAATCCACGATTATTCTAAAGTATTTTATTTTTTTTATCTTTTTTCAATTTTTAATGAAAGACATAAATATTTTTTCAATTTTATTTATTTAGAGAAAATAAAATTAGGTCAGACAAAATACGGTGCCTGAGATGCAATTAATATAATGTATGTTGATATATAAAGTTAATTTTGAATTGGATTCAAAATGATAAGAGATTGAAATTTGAATTTGATTAAATATGGTCGATAATTAAATTAAATTAAATTAATGGGTTATGTTAATTTTATTAAATTAAATTAGATTTAATTTAATTTAATTAATAATTTTTTTTGTAATTAATTAAATTTGATTTAATTAATTGTTAATTTAATTAAATTGATTTAATCAAATTAATTGAAAGAAAAAAAAAAGGAGAGAAAATCTCCCACTCCCCACCATTTATGTTGGTAAGTGTGGTGGTAGGGGGAAAACCTATCCCACAGAGGTGGTGAGTGTGGACGTTGTGATTCTCTCTCACCATCCCTTCCTTATAAAAGGGAGGTTCCATTTTGTTGTGGTTGTTGGTGTTTTTTAGTTTCTAAACTCTAAAACAAAACCTCTCTCTCAATCTCTCTCTCAATTTAAGAAGGTCCCACAAAATGAATTCTTAAGATCCAGAGGATAGCGAGGAAAGTGTTTTGGTAGCATTGATCTACGGTGAAGAACGGTCTTCAAAGGTAGAATCTACTTCCCTTTTACTTCCGCTGCGGGATATGATTCCTTCAAGTATAAAATAGGAAAAAGACACCTTAAGTATTAGTGACAGGTTTTTTCACTTACTTGGTGAGGGCGAGGACCTTCCTTATATAAGCTTGGGCAGCCGACCAGGAAGGATGACAGTTGGGATGGCAGGGACATGCCGCGAGGTACGATGCCTGTTGAGGGCATACGTTCCCAACAACGAGCGGGTGGTGCCACCGCTTGCAGGCTTGGAGCTTGTCGCTTGCCTCTAGGGTTCGACGTGCTACCTGTACTACGGAGACGGAAATGTGCATCCCCTACCATTGCAGCATACGATGTGTATCCATGTGTGGTCCCCATATCTTGGGGACGGACACACGTTTTACCCTCAACATAAACTAATATTTCATATCTATGTGGTAATTATAGAAATCAATTTAAACTATAAAAAAGTGAATTGTAACATGAGTCCTATAATAAAACTATATCACATGAGTTATATTCTGCACATTGAACAATTATCTTCCATTTTTTCGGTTTTTGCGTCTAAGATGATATAGAAGGACTATTATAATATATATCAAAGATATCAAAATTGTGCATTAGATCCTCCAATGTAGGGGTGTACATTGGTCGGTCCGGTTGGTTTTTCGGTCGAAATCCCCGCCGACTGACATATAGTCGGTTTCCAAAAATGAAAACCGACCAACTGATATGGTACTGCTTCTGACGATGAATGTGGTAGTCAGTCCGTTTTCGACAAATCGACATTTTTTTATTTTGGCATTTGGTGTCTTTCACATACCTCTAGACGGATATGACATATGTACCAAAAAAAAACATTTATTATTATTGCTGTCAAGACTTTTCTCAAACTTTTCATTGAGGAAAAAGAAGGGATAGAGTTGAGAATGGCAGAAGAAAAGAGGAAAGAAGAGGAGAGGGTAAGAAAACCTCAATTGGAAATGGAGAGAAAAAAATAGATCTAAAACATGGAAGGGAGAAGAAAAGGGAAAGATAAAAAAGAAATGGAAAAAAAATTATAGAGATAAAGTAGGGAAGGTTGAAAAATGGATGGATAGAAGAATGAAAGTTAATGTATAAAAGGATAAAAGAATAATAAATAAATATTTTCTCGATTAATGTGTGAAATTGAATTTTTTTTTTTTAAATCTATGTATGTCGGATTTCGATCGGTTTAGAGGGTATTTTTCTGAGGTTCGGTCGGTCGGAGCGGTTTGTCGGTCAACTTTGTACACCTCTACTCCAATGTCATCTTTGTTGTATTAAATTGATTGTTTTACTTCGTCTATCTCCACCACTTTAAAATTATAATATTTCATACTTCAAAATTTTTCTACAATTATTTCATCTTATATATATCGTGTTCAATTAAAGACTAGAGTTTGATTAAAAATTATTAATAAAATATTTTTGAGCAAATGATTCGACTTTAATTTACTAATTCAAATACTTTCTATCAATTTTCATTTTTTCACCTACAACGATATTTCTATAAATATATTACTTATATTTTTAGATATGATGGTTAAAAGTCATCGATTATAGTCTAATTAAATTACAGTTAAAATTTTACTAATTTAAACAATTTTTATAAATTTTCACAATTTCCGTAATTTTTCCCAAAATATTTGTCGACATCAATATTTCCATCAGCATTTCTGTAAAATCGAGACCTCGATATTTCTTTGACATTTCAATACCGGCTTTGGATTTTATCTTTCCTGACAAAATTATAACAATGCCGACAATGAAGGACGTCCCAATTTAGAATAGTGGATTTTGGAAAATTTAATCTCACTCGCTCTCGTAAATATGGTTCTAGTTTGTCAGCAGAAGGAGAGAAAACAGAAATTTCAAAATTGAATTTCAATTTCAAATAAACAAATTAATTTTAATACATTAGTATGGCATAGATTGAATATTTATTTTAATCTAAAATATTATTAATTTATTTATTTGTTAGAATTAGTATTTTACACTATTATATAATTTATAATATTTAAATTTTAACAAAAAAAATAAAATGAGTTTATAACATGAAATAGTTCATTAATCAAAGTTTTTTATCTTTTTAAATACAACCCTACATTTTAAAGTTTTGGATTCAAAATCTAAAAACATAAAAATAAAAAAAAAATTGCTAGAATTCAATGAATCTGAAATAAGCAAATTATCTACCAAACAAGTCTTCAACCTTTTAAAAAGAAATCACACAAAAAAGAAAAACGATGTCATGAGCGCAGTTCATCCTCTGAAATTTTTCATAAAACTCCCACAATATTAATAAAGTATTTTCATTTTATTGCAACAAAAGAATTGATCTTTAAAATTGCACCCATCAATAGCAAAAGTAGTCAAAGAATTACTTCCTAAAAATTTACCATGGTTAAAACTATACTCCTAAGCATTGTATCCAACTCCAAAACACTGACAAAGTAATAATTTTGGAGTAAAATTGCAACAGTTTTGTAAGTTTACTTTGGAGGAACCTCAATCGATCACAACACAACTGAATTTTTGCAAATTTTCCGTAATATAAAAAAAATAAAAAATAAAAACAGAAATCTGTATGCTTTCTTGTACACTCCACACAATATCCTCCATTGTGTCACTTCTCTTCTTGTTCATCATTTTCATCATTCATAAAGAAATTAGCTACAATAAAACATAAGAATGATAAGAATGATATGGTATAACTTTTAAAATAGTTCAAAATTAAACATACTTTTAATTAATTATAAATATTTTTTCCTATTTTTGCAGCACTATTTTAAATGTCAAAAACATTTCAAATGAAACACACATATATATATGAGAGTATTTATTTAGTGTTTTGTTTCCTCAAAATGTCATTTTCATTCTCGAATATTACACATTTGTTAGGAAACTAGTTTCCATCTTCCTTCAACACAAAATTTGTAACAACAAACCAATTAATTAATGCGTCGTTAACTCGTTAGGTAGAGTATGATTCAACTATTATGGTGTTAGTAACCTTTTATAAATTATAAGTTTCAAATCTTGATTCAATATTACAAAATAAAAATAAAAATCAAGTAGGGTCGAATTAAATTGACAACTTAAATATAACCCAAGTAGCAAAAATATTAGACTCTCTCTTAAAAAGTTGTACCTTTTTTTTGTATATTTTTATTTAAATTTTAATACACAAAAAAGAAAAACAAGTCTAATTGAATTACAAATTGTATTCCTATAGTTTAATCTTCTCGCACATTAAAATAAATAAAAAATAAAAAAGGCACTTTTTTATCACTTACTAATTATTTATTAACTTTTATTTATTCATATAAGTAGATAATTAATCTTTTTTTTTTGTTTTTTTCAACAATTGCAGAGGTAGGGTTCGAATTATCGGCTTTTGGGATGACAATAGTTGCTTTACCAATTTGAAATATGTTCGAATTGGCCTACTATAAGTCAATCCAAACACAACTCAAATGGATAAAGCACCTATTAATATTCTAAAAGTCGATGATTCTTCGAGCACCTGCATACCCACATTGNTTTACCAATGTTTTTTAGTTGCTATTTTTTTCTAATATTTTTTCTAAATTATGTTAGATTTACATGTTATTCGGTATCAAACCTTAGCCTAGATAAATAGTTACACGTATTAAATATCGGTTTGACTTCATAACACGTTTATATAAAGCCTAACCTATAAGCAAAAATTATCTGACAAGAATCATAAAGTACATTTGCGATCGATTTCATGTACAAAACAAATTAGAAAACCTTTAACAGAATAGCGGGAGAGTCTTACGATTGTACTCAAGAAGCCTCTCAATGAAATTGACTGTCGTGATGAGCATTTGCCTACAACAATAACGGACTAATCCTAGACGATCCAAAACACCGCTATAAAAAAAATTTAGAATATTACCATTCAAATAAAGAAACATAGATACATTATAACATCATTAATTTTCATAAGAATATTTATACTCGAACTAATTAATCAAATAACTTATATAGATGACCATAAAAAGAACCATATACATGCCCGACACCAATACTAAAAATAGAAAAATTTGTCGAATCTCAGTAAGATAGGATCTCACTTCTCAATACCTAAATATTTTTCAAAAACCATAGAATCGTTTTTACTCCCCGTAACACTATGAAATAATCTCTTTGATTAGTCAAATCAAAACATAATAAATTGAATCTACAATAATTTACTTACAAAATTAAAGAGTCCAAAATCAGGACCCAAGAAAAGAAGAAAGAAATTAAAGAAAACAAAGATCTTGCTAAAATTCAAAGCATATACATATAATAATAATAATAATTGGTAGATAGAAAGCAAATAAATAATTGAAGTAAAGAAAATAAATGAGAAATGTTTGCATAAAGCAATTACCTTTCATCAAGACCATTATCATCTCGAAGCAAATCAAGATAACTTTCCCATCTATTTCCGATCACCTAATAATCAATAATTTGGCAAAGAAAAAAAGATTGATGATTTTAATTAATTAAACATAAATAACACAGAAAATGGAAATTACCTTGCCGCAGGTAAAGCAACGAACTGGGATTAACATCTTCAGCTTCTAACTATTAATTTCTTCTGCTGCTTTTCAACTCTGTGAATTGTGATTCCCACCATGATTAAATCATCTATTTATATTCCTTCGTTTGTTGTTATCAGTTGACAGTTAAGTTAGTTTTTTGCTGCATTTATGTATTTTTAGATATAGCGAAAGTTTGAAATCCAAATCAATTCTAATATAAATACACTAACAAAAATGTGTCTTCTTTTTTACTTAAAAGTTGTGACATTTTTTAAGATACTGCAGTCTAAATTCTATTACTCGTATACTTTTCAATTAGTTAAGAATCGAAATAACAGTTTAATTAAGTATTAAAATGTGGATGTCGACGAAGATGGCCGAATCTAATCAATTTTATGAATATATAAATAACATATCGATATTGGCTATTAGTTTTTGCAGAATAATTATGAGAATCGAGAAACTTATAAAAATCATTTCCATTAATGAATAAGTAGCTCTAAATCTTATCATTAGTGTATATATGTAAATATATTTTATGGATATTTTAATCCTCAATATATTTGGATAGTTGATTTATTTTGAGTGATCTTCCATTTAGTTATAGTGAAGAAGGTAATACAAATAAAGTTGGAATGTAATGATATGTTATAATCTTTTAAAAAATTAAACAATATAAGCAACATAATTAAATTCATTGATGGTATAAATCAAAATAATAATGATAAAATATTGAAGCAGACTGTGAACAAACTTTGATTTGTCTTAGCAAATCCTGGTAACCAAACATCCCCTAATTTATTTCGATTTTTCTATAAGCAAAGTTGACATTACACTGCTACAATAATTTCAAACTAGGCCGAATATTAATCAATCTCCATCTCACTACTATCCCTCAGCCTAATCTTACTCTCCAACTAAAATAAAATAAAGAAAAAAATATGGAATTAAGCAGCGAAAATTAGAGCAACATTAAGATTATAAATATAATTTGTACTGTTTCAACGAAGAAAAATGTAATGCAGAACATGCAACAAGATTTTTGTTTCCTTCGTTTTTTGACAAATATTAGCATTCTCTTCTTATTATCATAATCCCCACCGTATGGTATAATCTCACTGATAAGAAAGAAGCCAAAAAAAGAAAAAAAACCTCAAGGTTCCTTTTTGTTTAATTGTCCAAGTGTCCTCTGTGCATACAGCTGTTGCTCCCGAGCTTGTTTAGCAGCCAAAGCTTCCTCATCAAGAACTTGGATAGGGGACCATTCCGGTAATTTCATCCAATTACGACTTTCCTCGAATACCGATTCCTTGTAGCTTCTGAAAGTGGGTCTTAGTTTGAGAGTGGCATAATCGAATGTTGTCCCAACGACGGTGAACATCAACGAGTATCTAACAGAGCCGAGCTGCCCACCTAGTAGCATAGCATGTCAAAGAGAATATATAATTGTATACAGGAGATTCTAATATTCAAACCTTTGCAGCACAGATCACAATTCATTTGTAGCATTTCATCTCTACAAGTCTAAGAGCAATGAAATTAGTCACATTTTGGCCCAAAGAGAAAAATGATCCACCAAAAAACTAAATATCATTCCATCACAACCAAACAATTAAATTTTGTCTACTTCGGGGAATCAGTGAGATTCTGGGAAGACACTTTGGATTGACTCTTCTCCATTGTCTATATTTTTTCCGAACTTGTATTTCATTTCTACCCAGGAAAAGTCAATAGCAGATTGTTGGATTTCAGAGGCCATGACCTGGGACATTGGAATGAGAAGGAATCTTTTTGGTAGAGAGCTTGAGAGGTGGGCGATTTTTACTGGAAAACTAGAAGGTGTGGTTATTGGCCAAGGTAGAGATTCTTTATGGTGGAATTCAGACAGCAAGTGTACTTTTTCTGAGAATTCTGCCTTCCTTGCAATCGCTTCCCCCCTCCCCCAAGCTGAATACAGCCCCTGCTTCCCTCATCTCGAATTTTAAGGTCCCAAAGAAGGTAAAGTTTTTCCTTAGGACTCTATTTTATAGGGGAATAAATACCGTCGAGAAAACCCAAAGGAAGTTACCCCATTGGACCCTCTCCCCTTCAGTTTGCAGAATGTGTTAAGAGTGCAAAAATGGTGGACCACCTCTTCCTTCATTGTACCTTTGCAACAAGGGCTTGGAACTATGTGGCATCTCTCCTAGACCTCGCCCTCTGCGTTCCAAAGAGAATTGATGCTTTTTTAGCGGAAGGTTTTGGTGGCTCAATGCTAAAAGGAAAAGCATATGTTTTCTGGAATTGTGCTACTAGAGCACTTCTATGGCTGCTATGGAAGGAATGGAACTATAGACTTTTTGAAGAGAAAGAGGCCTATTTTGACTCTTTTAGTGTGAATACAAAGCATACAGCTTCTTGGTGGGCTTCGATGGACTTCGATTCATAAGAAAGTTTTTTGTAACTATGGTTTCCTCTTGATTCTACAGAGCTGGAATTCCTTGATTGTATAGTCCCCTTGGGGAGGGTTCCCTCGACCCTCTGCTGCTCCACTAGGCTGTTTTTCTGCCATTGTTTTGGGCTCCTCTTGATTTTGAATACAATCTTTCTGTTTCTTATAAAAAAAAACAATTAAATTTTGTTAATAGAAAGTTAGGAATGGCTTCTAAAGGTATTTGGGGCTATTAGTAGAATAGTAAGGATAGGTTAGTAATTAGATAGGGAAGTTGTTAAGGGGGTTGTTATAAATATAGCGAGGAAAAAGGTAGTTGGCCTCTCGAAGTGCTAAGGGATTATTGTAATCTTCTATCCTTTTATTTTTTAATCTATTATAGTTATTTGGCTCCTATCAAGTGGCATCAGAGCATCATTGTAATCTTCTATCCTTTTATTTTTCAATCTATTAATAGTTATTTGGTTCCTATCAAGTGGTACCAGAGCATCGATTCTGGCCATGGTTCTTGCATTTGAGTCAGTGCTGGAGGTATAGAGATTGTTGATGGAAATGATGGAACATTCAAAGGAAGTGCTTCGAATACTCAAAAAAATACAAAACAGGCTTGTGAAGTGCATAGCAAAGCCGATTGGAGTGGAAAAAGAGGCATCATATAGGGAAGGATTAACTGCGAAGAAATCCATCCTAAAGTCAGTGGGTTGTCAGATGCAAGGGCAAGAGTGGCTAGAAGGCGGCGACCATACCGAAGAACGCCGACTAGAGCATGATGGAAAATCAATTGAGGTTATGGAAATACTTTTCGTGTAGGGATTTCTTGAGACCAGACGAGAAGAACTGTCCTCAACCAGAGTATGAGGAGGCTACAAAAAAAAAAAAAAGAAGGCATCAAACCCAATAAAGGAGGTTCAAAAAGAAGAATGAAGGAGAAATCATATGACAAAATAAGGAACAACAAGATTCCAGATAGGATCAGATTTGCACGGTGGTTTTTTGATGAAGAAGCGGCAGAAAGAGAAGAGGGAACGAATATCCAGAAGGAAGGTTCGAATACTATGGAAAGAAGAATAGCTTATAGTCCGGGCGAAATTCGAAGATTGGGCGCAAGAGAACTGGGAAGATAAGTGTTGCGATGGAGGTTGGATTTCTTAAGGGAGGTCAGTCATGTTTGGTTCCATTGCAAGCAACAAAAACTTGGAGGGGAAGAGGTTTTAGTAATCCTAAAGCTCGGGGAAAAGTGGAAAGTCATGACGAAAATGAAAGAAAAAGGAGACAAGACTGATGGATGACATCACCAGCAAATGCATGAGTGGTCGAAGCTACAAGAATGGCGCCGCCTACGTCCTAAAATGCCGAAGGAGAGAAGAGAAGCTGCATGTGTTTGCTGCCCTAATATTGCAGCAGTTGAAGAAGGCAAGGGGAATGGGCTAAAATTAAATATGCAAAGACCCACTCCTTAAGGCAAATAAGTATTCTACAAGGTGGGATACAAGATTGGCTTTGGGGCTGGTTAACCTCAATTTTAAACCTAAAATCCAACCCGTAACATAACCCTACCCATGATAACAGAAATCCCTGGCCATCAATGGGAAACTTCATCTAAACGACAAATTCCCCATCAAGCAACCTGTTGTTGCCGTCTACCTTTTCTGCACTCGCTGTCGTCCACGACTTGGGGCACCCACTATTGTCGTCAATCGTCAGCCATCACCCTTCTGTCACAAACTGTCGCCACACCAACCCTACGCTGCCACTGTCATTATTGTGTTTGCATGCGCTGCCGACCATCGGTTATTGTCATCGTCATACGTCTGCCTACTTAAGTGTTGGCCACCATCTGGCACCGCCACTGCCCCGCAAACTTGCACACCGTCGCCACCATCTGGCGCACCTTGCCACATGCCACTGGCCACCACCACCTACCACACAACCCACTGTAATCTGCACACATCGCCCGTCGCTGTCCATCGCATACCAATCAAAACAGCAAATTCAACTAGGGTTTGTTATATGGCTAGGTTTCTAATTTTGTTGGGGTTAAAAAAGGTATATTTATTTTTGTTTAACCACACCTTGAGGGCAAGGTGTGTTTCAAGGGCAGGGTAGTGTTAACAATGTCTTTTAAGGGTATTAAGAGTTCTTAGTAGAATAGCAAGAGTAGGCTAATAATTAGATAGGGAAGTTGTTAAGGAGAGTTGTTATAAATATAGTGAGGAGAAAGAGAGGGAGGTAGGCAATGATTCAATGTGGTTTAAGCTTGAGGAGATAATCCTTGAGAAGGAAAGTTCTTGGCCTCTTGAAGTGCTAAGAGATTATTGTAATCTTCTATCCTTTATTTTCCAATTTATAATGGTTAGGGTTCCGATCATGGAACAAGTGGACAAGATACTTAACAAGCATTATCTTTTTTTCTTTTTTTGGAATAAAAAAAGAACTTCATGAATGAAATAATACAAAAGGGCATCTAAAAAATAGCCAAACAAAAAGGAGTCAAACTAAAAGAACGGGCTCCAATCTAACAAGATCAAACCTAATGAGTAATTACAAATGGTTTTGGGCACCGAAATCCAAAGGAAAACATGAAAACTAAGCAAGAGCCTAAATGTCAAGAGAGGTTCTTCATCACCTTTTTCTTTTTTATAACTGGGAGTTGGATCTTTGCTCCCCTATACCCAGGGACACCTGTGCCCGCCCCAAGGCTCAGACACGAGAAACGGGTTCTTCGTCACCTTCCATTCCATGACAAGGGTTGGTTTTTGTGGCAAGTGGGTTTCTTAATTGTTCTATGGTGCTTGTGGATAGAATTATCTTGCTCCAACGGCAGGGGTGTAATTGGTTCAATTTGGCTGGGTTTGGAGGCTGAATCAAAACTGAGCCGATAATTTTTTAATAAAATAATTAAAACCAAATCGAACCACCCAACTGACAAAAGCCACACGGTTGAACCATTGTCAGTTCGATTTGGCGTTTACCCATTCAGCTGATCAATGATATAGCCACAAGAGTTTGTGTCAATTTGTACGGGTGAAGTCCCTTTTTTTTTTTGCAGGTGTGGGTCAATTTTTGCCACATTAGATTTGTTCAACAGCCTTTTTTTCTATTTTTCTTTCTTTGCCAATCAATCTCTAGAACTTGGTTGTTAAAAAAGACCTCAAAATTGGGCAGCGTTTTTTTCCATAATTGTAACTAATTAAGGAAGGAATGAGTCAAGGAAGAAGATGACGAGATTTGACCATGCAGAGATCTCACCTCGACATTACATGGATCGAGGAAGGAGACGACGAGATTTCACAATTTAGAGATCTCACCTCAAATTTCACAGATCAAGGAACGAGACAACGAGATTTTACAATGCAGAGATCTAACTCTAGGATTCATAGATAGAGGAGTCGATTGAGGAAGGAGATGACGAGATTTAAACGATTAGAGATCTCACCTCTAGGATTTCACAGACGACGATTTCACGATTCGAAGATCTCACCTCTGAGATTTCACTGATTACGGGAGATGACAAGAACGATTCAGATACCTCACCTCTGGGATTTCACGAATTGAGGAATGAGACAACTAGATTTCACTTTTCGGATTTGATATTTGACAGGGTGCATATTTTCTATGTTTTGGGATTTGGTTCGACAACATTTTTTAAGAGATTTTTTTGGAATTTGGCTATTTGGGAAGAGATTTTCACGCATGAGAGGGGCTAGTTTTGAATAGATTGACATGGCTTGAGGACTTGCCCACGTTGTGAATGGAATAATAGATTGACATGAAGCAGCATAATTTTTTTCTTGCAGGCTCCCACACACTCAGTTCGGTTCAGCATGCAATCAGTTAGGCAAGTAAAAACCGAGCCAAACCGATTACTTTCGATTTTAACCTTGAACCAACTTGAACCCGAAAAGCAAACTGCACCAAAACCGATTCAGTGTCGGTTTCAGTCAGTTTTAATGATTTAATCGGCTTTGTCGGTTTTTCCTTGCACCTCTATCCAAGGGTGAAGGACCCAAATACATGATGTGTTGCCTATGAATCTCAACCAGTTCTAGTTCAACCTAGATAAGACCCTTCCTCGAGATCTTAGTCACTCAGGTCAGTAGAAAAATTCTCCACAAACATTTACAGAAAAATAAAATATCATCCTTTTACCTTTCTCCAATTCGTTCCTGTCCAAGAAACCAATTCATAACAAGAAACAAAAACATAACTAGACTTGTGTGATAACTCATCCAGAAACTCTCCACAATTTCAAGTAACCAATGATTATATGCACAATTTCTATAACAAGAATTACAGAAACAAGTTGAAATAACAGACTTGCTTCTGTTGGTGTGAGAGGAAGGGATGTGAAATTAACTAACCTTGAAGGCGTCCAAGAATAGCTCCGGTACCAAACCCAGCTATTGCAGAGTTCATAAGATCATCGGGTTCTGACTTTCGATAAACTCTAACAAACTCGCGTGCTCCTGTTCAATTTACAAAGTGGTAATGAGAAAAAGAGACGTAAAGAGAACTTTTAGTACACCTACCCATGATGAACAGCAAAAGATACTACGTTGTGATTAAAATGAGACATTTTCTTTATAATTTCCCATCAATTTCAAAATAACATCAAGTTCACAACGGTTTAACTTGAATCTTGAGAAATCTTTACTTGAAAGCTGAAACTAGTTTGTGATAACAAAAATATGCTTATACAATTATATGAATTGAGATTTAATATTCCAATTCAGGTCTCACTAGAAGTAGTCTAACTCAGATTTTTTTTTTATCTTTTCACTTTTTTTTTATAGAAAACATTTTCATTGATAAATGAAATAAAAACGGGTAAGAAACACTCCCAAAGGGAATACAAAAAACTTCTCTTTGGATATAAGGGAGTTTAAAGTATAGTTGAAAAAGGGAGGTAAATTTTTACACCAGTAAAAAGCTACGAAAAAGATAATTCTGAGAGTGCTTCGGCTGGTCTTTCCTTTCCTTGGAAGATTCTTGCATTTCTCTCGATCAAAATGACCTTATCGAGTTTATATGAAGTCTTACTGTGATATTTGTCAAGAAAAGAAAATCTAAATGGATTATGGTTTAAGTGACATAACTCAAAACACAAATCTGCTTCTTATCTAACTAGAATTATTCATCTATTTTACCCATAACATTAAATTAAATAATTAACCAGAAAACGAGTTTACAAAAATGTTACAAGCAAGTTTTATTTTTCATTTTCTAAAACCTACAAATTCACTTAGCTTCGAGCATCATATATTATTTTTAAAATGTAAAAATTTAAAAGGTGTATAATATTTTGAATACTCTATTAAATAAATAATGAATGTTTTTTTTTTATTTTGGGTAAGAAACATGTTTTCATTGATAATATGAAATAAATAATGAATGTTTATATATGTAGTTTAATTTAAGCTACATTTTTTTATTCATTTTTCAAAAAGAATAATTTTCAGAAGTTTAAATCATATAATTCAGAAGATAGTTTATTATACTAATCAAAATCATTATATTTATTGACTTGTTTAGAGAAAAGAAAAATATTTTGTGCAAAAAAATAAAATCTGGAGATACAAAAAGAACGTCAAAAGGTTTTCAAAATCCTTCATATTATCTGAATTGTACCTCAAAAGTAAAAACAGTTTTCTTGATTTCTGCATTAAATATTGTCAAGCTTAGATATTTTTTCATTCATTGTATTTGTCATTTTTGGAAACAGAACTATTACAGTTTTTTAACAAAGAAAACGAAGACTTCTATTATTTCTGAGAGCACTATTTTCAACAACCTTAATTTATAGGAACAGACATTCATTAAAAAAAACAACAGCACAAGCAAATTCTGCGGTAACAGTAGATATGGACAATCCTGGAAAAGCAATATTCTGCTTGAAAAAAGCTGCCCCAAACCCCCAACTGTTGAAAATCATAAATTATGGCATAATAACAGAAATCAACCATAAATGAGATCTAGAACAAAGTATTGAATAAATAGCACCAGATATTATATTGTGGCTGAATCTACCTTTCCTACAATACAAAATTGATGTAGGAGAGAGGTAAAAAACTATTAACAAATTTTAGCAAACAGTGACCCTCAATCCATAGGAGGTTCGGTGAATCCATAATCCAAATAAATCTATATGATGAAAGAATCCACTAGAATACCTTAAAGATATACGTGGTATACATCTCAATCCACAAGCCTTAACGTAGAGATATTTGCAAGAAGTATCTACATCTTTATTCCAAGTCTCTAAAGAAATGTTACCATAAGTATAACTACAGTTTTCTAAGCGCAACTGCGCAAGGTGGTGACAATTGACAATTGACAAGTCTCTTGATTGCCCTTAAGGCAAGAGACAAAAAGAGAAGACTTGGGTGTTGAGTGAAGTGGGGTGTATAATAAATAAATTCATATATGAAGTTAATTCATATATATAAATTAATAATTATATAAAGCCTTAAAGATCAAATACATCAAAATGTTATTCACATACAAAAACCAAGTTCTGCTAGTTCCAAATAAAATAAGAAAAGTTAAAATATAAAAAACAAAGAAACAAAAACAAAAGGGAAGAAATTTTATTATTTAAAAAAAAGACATTTATGGTTAAGGGAAAAAAACAGTGATGCTTAAAAAGAAGGAAGAACGTAAAAGAGACATTACTTAAATTAAACTATAAAATAAGAGAAGAATAAGAAGAATAAGAAGAAATGAGGAAAGGAATTGAAAAACAGAGCCTGCTGTCCTCGTGAGAATCGTCAATCATGAAAAAGAAAACAAAGTGGAAATGGTTGATTTCAATTGAAGGAAAAAGAAGCTATCACACCTCTCTAAATCTAAATCAACCTAAAGAATAAATTGTGGAAATTTTGAGAAGGAATTGAGGATAGTTGAACAATGGTTAAAAGAAGAGTCCTGCCGCACTTTTGTCTTATGTCTCAATCTTCAATGGTGAGACAGGTGAGTAGGAAATCAAGGATGTTCGTATGGGTTTTGTCAAGAATGACCAGTAGTTTATTTTTGTTATTTTTACTTAGAACTCTCTGCCTTCATGGCTTCATCCGTCCGCCAGCTATTCTCTCTGAGGAGTTCACATCACCATTATTCAACAATGGTGCAGGACACATAATGGTACACAACGGCGACACCATGTTGAAAGCACTCGTCATTGCTTCCTGCAAGGCACGCCTCGTGTGGCCTTGCATCAAAAGCAAACGTTTGGGTGCAACTTGAAAACATTAGTTGCAAATATTAAATAGAAGAATTTGTTATTCAAATTAAAATTTGATAGCAATCCTTTTTTTTTTTTTTGGATAGGAAACAATTTTACTGATGATACGAAATTATACAAAAGGATCAAACCCTATCCAATGAAGTTACAAAAAAACTTCTTCAATGGGATATAAGAGTCTTCAAGCCATAGTTGTTAAAAGGAAAAACATTTTTACACCATGTTAGAGCTAAAAAGGAAATATAATCAATCAAGTATTGTGGATAACTTTCCTTGTCCTTAAAAAGCATAGAGTTTCTCTATCTCCAAATGGACCAAATATATGCTCTTTTGTGGTGTTGCCAAAGGATTTCTTTTTCGTGTTTGAAGGGCTGATAAAGGAAAATTGAAGCCAACCAATCTCTTGTATTCTTCGGTAAAACCGTCACCCAGCAAAAAATGGATAACAAATGCTTCCAAATCACTGTAGAGAAGGGACAATCCATGAAAATATGAAATTGTGATTCAGAACTAGCTTTGCACAAGCAGCACCAAAAAGGAGAAATAGGCCACCAGGGGCATCATCTTTGCAGCTTGTCAAAAGTATTGAGGCATGAGTGACTTAATTCCCATATTAAAAACTTGACTTTTTGTATGCGTGGCCTTCCAAATCTTGATTTCTCATCCCTCAACCTCTAAGCTGTTATCTTCTATCAATATACTTACTTCATTTCTTATCAAAAAAAAAAAAATGTATACGTGGCCTTGATTCAAAAAGATCATATGTAAACCGAACATGGTGGAAGGTTTTGAGTCAAAAATTTTGCTGAGAAGCTGCCAAGTTTTTCTAGGTTCCATAGCCACAAATCAGCTCTATTTGATGGAGTAAAAATGAGGACAGTCAAGCTGATAATGATGACAATTCCTAAATTTCCTCCTCGTTGAGGTTTCTTCAAAAATTCATAGTCCATGATTGCAATCATTTTGAGGAACCACGTCCTTCTATGTCATGGGTTGTGAAATCTACGTCCCCAAATTCCAAAAGCGTGTAACATATTTGGATCACCCAATTACAAATTAAATAAACCGAGCTAATAACATGCTGAATCCTCGATCCAGGAAAGGAATGTATCATTGAAAGAATGCTCAATGAAATGAAAGAATGCTCTGATTGGTTCAATTTCCTAATTAAAATAACATTCAACGACTCCAATTACAATAAAATCTTTCATAAGCAAAAACTTTTGAACATTGAAATGAAAACTTACCACAGTAGCAAGCAGTGACAATGGATAAATTTGCAGCATATGTTGCAGAAATGTTCGCCAGGCCATGAACTTTCCGATACTTGGACACTAGCCCAGCTCCTCCCCCAACAAACCCTGTAGGCAAAAAGTATATATAATGGATGAGTTTTCAGGTGTTTCTAGAGATAAAAACTCGAAGTTAAAAAATTTTATTGATAAAGAATCTTGAAGCTTGAGATCCAACACGTTCTAAGCTTTGTCGGATAGGAAGACTATGAAAATGAATAATAAGAGAGTTTAAGAAAACGGATACAGACCTGCGAGAAGGGTGGGAAAAAAGATGCGCTGCTTCCAATCGCCATAGTTTGAAGAAGAAGAAGAAGAAGAAGAAGAAGAGGGAGTCTCTGAATCTAGGGTTTTTGGAGTCTCTGAATCCATGGCAGTTTTAGAGAGCAAGCTTACTGAATTAAGTGAATTTATTGTCCAACGCCAAAATGCGTATGATCGATCGAACTAACTAATAAAAAGAAAGCACCAGTCATCATCACTCATCGGTTTTCTTTCGGGTGATTTAGGTGACTCGTTCGTTGGTGGTACGAAAATATGAATCTTAAAACAAGGGATTTAACGAAATAAAAGTTGCCAATATCAACTTAACTTACCGAGCAAAAGCCATCCGCGGCATATACCTCCGAGGGCCGTGAGTTCAATTTCAGATAAAAATCATTGATTTTTAAAATTTACCAATTTAATGAGAATCAACTTTCTCAAATTATTTGGGTTTAATGCTCAGATAACTCTGTCAAAACTTACAAATTTAGAATAATTCTGATGTCAATTATTTTCATACCAAAAATGCATGTATTTTCTAATTCGTTTGACACATGAGATTATTTTTTCTTAGAAATTTTCAAATGAAAATCTATCCAATAATAAATTTTGTCACATTTTAAAGTTCAAGGTGAAAATTTAACATTATCCAATTGTAACGAGATGGCAACGGGACGGGGATGAGGGGTCATCCCCATCCTCAATTGGAAAATTTTTCCCCATCCCTGCCCCGTCCCATTATAAATATATTTTTAAAATTTTTAAATTAATTTTTGTTATTAAGTGAACAAAAGCTAGATGGGCTAGATGGGCTTTTAGCTTGAGGTTTTTTTTAAAAAAAAAATAAAAAGTATTTATAAAATTAATATATATTAATATTATTATATAAAAAAATAAAAAAAGTAATAAAATATTAAACGCCACGGGGACAGGGACGAGGCGGGGAATCCTCCCCTCATCCCCACCCTGTCCTTGTTGGGACCCCAACATCAATTGAAATCCCCAGTTTGACCTCGTCCCTGGTCAAACCAAGAATTCCCCAACCCGATTGGGTCGGGTACTTACGGGGATCGGGTCCCGCAGGCTTTTTTGCCATCCCTACGTACAAATTGATACACGTCGTCAAGTTCTAATATAAAATTGATATTTTTGCATTACGTTTATATGTATGTGTGCCCCTTTAACATAGAATTCTAGATTCGTCACTCTTGCTACATAACATTAATATAACATATCGAACATGAGCATATTTTGAGCATATTTTTAAAGTTTGTAATATATGCTTCTCAAAAAGAAAAAAAAAGTTAAAAGCCAAATATTTAATACCTATTGAATTCATATATGTAATGCATTACAACTTAAATATGACTCAACCATCAGGGAAAAAATATATATATTTTCTATGAGTTGAAGGTTAGAATATTTACCCTATAATTATAAAATGTATATATATACTCAAAATATAATTATAAATCTGTTATCTCAAGCAATCAAGGTGCGTTTGTTCCTAGCAGATGTGTAGTGTATAATGCGATCTTGGGTACGAGTGTGTGCATTCTATTCGGAACAGACGCTCCGAATCGGTGAGGTGGACAACTTTGAAGCTTGATATGAGTAAGGTCTACGACCGTGTGGAGTGGTGTTTCCTTGAACAAATGATGGTTTGTATGGGCTTTGCTCGGCCATGGGTAGATTTGATCATGAGGTGCGTGACATCTGTCTCATTTTCTTTTCTTTTGAATGGCGAGCGATATGGTAACATTATTCCATCTCGGGGTCTCAGGCAAGGAGATCCTCTTTCCTCCTATCTCTTTCTTATATGTGTTGAGGGGTTGTCTTGCAGTTTGAAGGGTGCGGTTAGGCGGAAGCTTATATTTAGCTCTGCTTTATCCGGTTTTGTAAAGCTGCGGCTCAAGTTTGACGGTACTCCAAGTTTTGTCATTTCTTTCCCCCATCTAATGATTTTTCATTGATGAATACGTTGTAGGATTGTTTGGAGTTGTCGAGCTGAGCTGATTTAAAAGAAATGGCAATGCTATTATGGGCTATCTAGGGCGCAAGGAATACTCGGTGTTCACTGATTGACTATCGCAAACCCCCCAGGCCATTGTGAATTGGGTGGCCGCTTTTGTGTCTGAATTTTGGAAAGTTGTCTCTCGTTCGCTTGAGGGTGTATCTGTAGCACCCGAATCGCTTCCAGAGGTTTGGGTTCCTCCTCCGGCTGGCTTGTTTAAGGTTAATACTGATGCTGCTTTAGATTTCGAGCGATCTGTGCCTAGTTTGGGTGTAGTTATTCGAGATTGTAATGGGCATGTGATGCTTTCGGCTTCTTCACAAGTAGCACATATGGTAGGTGTTGACCTGGCGGAGGCTATGTCAGTGAACTTTGGAATTCGACTATCTCAGGAGATGACTTTGTTTCCGTGTGTTTTGGAAATGGATTCATACTGTATCTTCAGCCTATTGCAATTTGAAGCTGATGATATTTCTGAAGTTGGTCATTTTGTTGCGATGATAAATTCTAGGGAGTTAAAGAGGTGGGAGTTAAAGAGGTGGTGGTGTCTACCGATTTTGTCAAGAGAGAGAGAATGAGGTAGCTCACAAAATGGCTAAAAGAGGTTTGAAGTCTGCTGATTCCATCTAGTTTGAGGAATGAACTCTTGATTTTTAATTATGTTTTCTAATGCTATGTTTGGATTGTTTCAAAAGAAAAAAAAATCAAACCAAGTGGCAAAAAATTGTTTTTATATTCTTTCTTTTTCTGTGGAAGAAAATATTGAACCCATTCATACAAAAAAAGAAAAAAAAAATCAACCGCAACCTTTTTTTTTAAATCAATTATCTCTACCTCAACCCATTTGATTAATTAAAAAAAATCAATTATCTCAATTCATTTATTTAAAGAAAAATCAAATATCTTTGGATTGAAAACCGAAAACGATTTGAAAACGTATTTTAATCGATTTCAGAAATAAGTGGTCAAATTGGGATTGTATCGAGCTATGTTTCCAAAAATTTGTCGCCACAAATTTTTGTTAAACCGATGTTTTCAATGTTTTTGAAAACATAAAATTGTTTTCAGATCCTTTACTGACCATAAAAATTTGGAATTAGTAGATAGATACTCTATTTAAGAGACCTAATTACATAAAAGGATTGAAAGTTAAAAGAATTTACACTTTTGTCTAACATAATTTCCAAAATAGATGGTACCCATAATAGAAATTACTAATATATCCATCTCAATATTAAATCATTAATAAAATATGAAATTGGTTAATATTTATTAAAATATACCAAATCCCTAAAATTAAGCTAATTGAGATTTTTACAACCCACCAATTTGGTAACCCACGATTTTTAGAAACCCAATTTTCGTAACCACTTCATCTCCCTCTTCATCACTTCGACTGAAACCCAAGGTTCGCATCTCGTGCGGTTGCTTCAGAAAACTTCTCATCTTCAAGCTTCTCATCCCCGTTCTTTCAAAAGATTACTTCGGCGTCATCCGTCGCATTTATAGGGCAACATCGTCACCAGCTACGTCTCCGTCGCATTTATAGGGCAACATCTTCCTTTTTTATTGTCACTGGCTACTTCTCTGTCATCAGCTACGTACCCAAGCTTCTCATCTCCGGCGGCCTCCGTCGCATTTATAGGGCAACATCGTTTCAATTTTGCACAGAATTGAGGTATATATTTCTCAATTTAGGTTTCTTTTTTTGACAGAATCTGCTACTTTTTGGTTCCCATTATCTCTTCCTATCTGCTATTATCCTTTATAACAGTGTATATTTCAGTATATATAATATAGTCATACTGATTAGGATATATAATATATATCTAGATTAAAATATTTCCATATATAACAGTGAAACAATTTCCATGGAAAATGTATTAGGATATATAATATATCTCAAGTTTACATACGCCTTTTGGTATTACATTGGTATATACGAGTATATTTTTCTTTATTCGTTTGTTATGAGTAACATATGTGTGGTGATATATAGTGTTTAGATAAGGATATATATTATATCTCAAGATTTATGTATGTTGATATATACTGATGGTGATTCAAAGTTAAAAATCTATTGGATATATACCGTTAAGGATTTACATCGAATAAATTTTATATCTCATAAGGTTTAGTCTATGTTATATCGGGTATATTATATATTCAATATGTTATACTTTATACAAGGACGTGCTGGGCAGTGAACGAAGAAGAAAAACGGAAGAAAAAACGGAAGAATAAACGAGAAAACTTGGAAGTGAACGAAGAAGAAAATCGGAAACAATGGAGGAGAGATGAAATAAATCTTTTTTGAGGGATTTAGAGGAGAGAATTAAGGAATTTGAATTGAGATAATATCTATGGGGCCCACATTTATTAATTGATTGTGATATTAATTTATGGAAATAACAATTTTATATTTCAAAAAATCCAAATTCATTAATAAATGAAAATGCAATCAATAGGGGTAAATACGGAATTAAATTAAAATCCTAACTGCATAAATCTAAAAGTGTAAATTTTTAAAAATTTAGACATTTATGTAAATAAGTTTCTAAAACAGCCCCTCCGAAGATATTATCTCTAAAAAGGGATTTGTGCACATATCTAAATAAATTGGATAAATTCTATGGGCCTGAAGCAGTTTATTTCATGGTACTCCAAGATTTTTATCGAATAGGCAAACGTAAGATATTCGAGTAACTCAAGATGTATGAGGCATCAAATTGAAGGTTCTTATATCTCAATATCTTGAAGTTGAACCTCCCCCTATGAAAGCTGCTTTACAATTTCCTCATTGGTGCAAGCAATGGGTGATGAAAATATATGCGGCTCTTCTTTAAAATAATACTTGGAATTTGGTTTCATCTCCTACTCACAAGAAAGTTATTGGTTGCAAGTGGGTCTTTAAGATCAAGCCTAATTCGGATGGCTCAATTGCCAAATATAAAATCCGTCTTGTGGCTAAAGGGTTTTCATCAAGTGACTGATTTTGATTACATGGAGACTTTTAGTCTTGTTGTTAAACCAACTACGATTCATATATTGTCTACACTTGCTCTAGCATGTGATTAGTCACTATGACAGGTTCATATCAATAAAATCTTTCTTCATGGTGTTCTTTTAATGATGAAGTTTATATGTGTCAACCTCCTATAAAGGAAGTTTTGGGTTCAGTTCCTCTTGTTTATCGTCTCAAGAAGGCTCTCTATGGTCTTAAGTAAGCTCCTCGAGTATGGATTGAGGCGTCTCAGTGAGTTTCTTCACACACTT